CAAGCAAAACTATGAAGCTGGCAACTCTCCCTCTGCCTCTGAGCAGAATCCCCAGGACTGATGACACACACAGAGCCCCAGCTGTGGTTGGAGGAAGGCAGAAGAACCATTCAGCTGGGCCAGGCAACCAGCCTCCCAGAACCTCGTGGGCCTTGACCTAACCATACAGTTCTGTTTCTGGACACACAACAAGGACATCTTTGTACAGTGCCTGCTGGAGACCAGCTCCGCATCTGCCTTCCCAAGTTCCTCCCTGCTTCAAGGTCTCCTGTTTCCACCACCCCCACGCCATTGCCAAGTGAAATCTGATCCAGAGCCAGGCCCTGTGCTTCCAGCGCTGCTCAGAAGCAGGATGCTCTAGCTGCTAAGACCAAGAGGTTGAGGGCTAGATAAAGATGCACATGGTACAAAAACATGGGTCGCCTGCTTTCTTTCTTTCTTTTTTTTTTAAACAGATACAGGAAGGCTTTGGTTCTTGGGGGTTACAGGCACTCAGAGAGCACATGGAGGGAGTCTGTAGGTTTCCCAGATGCCTCCTGTGCCACAACATCCAGTCACTAAGGCGTCCAAGTCTCACTGGTGAAACTCCACAAACATCCTAAACTCTCCATGCCTCTCACCCATTTGCCTCTGCCTTGGTTCAGAATTCATTTTCTTCTGTCTCCACACTGCTCCCTACCCCAGCCTGAAAGCAATATCCTGCTGCTGCCCCCAAATCTTGAGCTAGGTGTGGTGGCACACGCCTGTAATCCCAGAACTCGGGAGGCTGAGGCAGGAGGATTGCTGAGTTCAAGGCCAATCTAAACTACAAAGTGAGCTCAAGGCCAGCCTGAACTGCATAGTGAAACCCTATCTCAAAAAGACAACAACACAACAAACCTTTGAAATCTTCCAGTGGCTCTCCTGAAGTCCCAGAGAAAGGCCGAGATGCTGAGGATGACATTCGAGGTCTATCTCTCCCAGCTTCTGTCTCCTTCCTTAGCTCCTATTCTACAGTGTAGCCAGACCAGAAAACCCATGGGTCCTGAGACATACAAGCCTCCATCATGTCTCCATAGATGAGTTCCTTTACCAACTCGGTAATCTTCTTTCCCCTCCCCTAAGTCCACCCACCAAACCCCTGTACCTCCTTCTGCCCCAACCCTGAGCACTGTCTCAGTGAGCACCCTAAGGGCTGATTGTCATGTCCAACCCCACCAATCCCTAGTAGTCTAAGACTCTTCAAAACCAGAGAATGATTTACACTCCTCAACACATACTTCCCATTCTGCTCTTAGCCCATTCTGTTTTTTTGTTGTTGTTGTTTTTTGTTTTCAAATTTTTATTTGTGTGTGTGTGTGTGTGTGTGTGTGTGGCCAGCTCAGCCCACCAGGGGGTGGGGCTGGCTGGCATGTGGTGCTGGGGGATTGAACCTTGGTCCCTGTGCTTTGCAAAGCTTGTTCTAAGTAGGTGTTTTACACTACTGAGCCATCTCACCAGCCCAGCCCATTCTGTTTTATGTCTGACAGGAGGCACTCCCAAGCTGGGGACAGGTAAATGCACCCCAACAACTCGCCTTCATCCATCCCCACAAAGAAACCAGAGAATCTTCTAAAACAAGTCAGACCAAGTCTGGCCCCTGCTCAAAAACCTTCCGTAGCTCCCCAGTACCATAGATTAAAAACTAAGCTCCCTGCCAAGTGAGGCCCTGCAGCACCAGGCCAGTCACACCTGTGGCCTTTGCCTCTGGCTCCTCACTGCTCCTTTGAGGCCAAGTCCACCTCCACCACCCCGTGAAGCCTTCTAGGACTTTTCCTGCTCCTGCCTTAGGGCGTTTCTTCTCTTTCCCGATTGCTCTCAGGGTTCAGCTCAAAAATCACAAGGTCTTGCCGCCTCTGGCTTCTCCCAGGGCTGAATCCTCTGGCCCACAGGTTATCTTCCAGTACTCTACCTTTCAGCACTCTTGATTTCTAATTGCTCAAAAGCATCTCATCCTCCTGTGAATGTACTGTTCCCCTTGCCAAGAAAGCCCTCTGCTCCCTCCTACCCATGCCCCTGGTCCTGGCCAGACCCCGGCTAAGACAGATGCCTTCCTCAGGGATGATCCACTCCCTGGGAATGGGTTTGTCTCCCCTTTTGACTGGGAGCCCATAAAGGTAGAGCTGGGGCCTCTGCACAACCTGTTTCCTCTCTCTGGAATGGTCCTAACTGATTTCCCTAGGTCCTGCAGGTCTCAGCTCTGACATGCCCGGAAAGCCTTCTGCTCTCTTCTCCTCTCAGCTCAAGTACTTCCTCTGGGCTCTGCCAGGCCCATGGGGTTCTTCCAGCAGACCAGGCACTCTGGGCTGTCACAGCTTGTCAATATGTTTGTCTTCCCCCACTAGAATCCTCCCCTGTCACCAGGGACTGCAGGGGCTCTTTGGTCTTCTGCTATGTCTCTGTGGCAAATATAACACCTAGCAGATAAATGAATGGCAGAATGCTTTTAACTACGTGCTTTAAACATAACAAGGATAACCCTACTTCCATTTATTGACCATGTACTATGTGCCACGCAGTAGACATGTTAAATACCTGACCTCATTTAATTCTAACAACCCTAGGAGCAAGAACTATTATTATCAGGCTAAGCGAAGAGAAACCCAAATTTTAACCAAGTGATTGGACTCATAAGCCAGAGGTTTTGTTTTGTAGTACTGGGGATAAACATGGGGGCCTTCACACTGAGCTACACCTCAGCCCCTTTTATTTTTGAGTCACTCTCCCTATAATGTTTAATTGCTTGGGCTAGGCTGGAAATTACTATCCTCCTGCTTCAGCCTCCCAGATTTCTGGGATTAGAGGTCCCAGAAACTTGCCACCACATCCAGTTCAGTTTGTAATAATCACTCAGCATTCCCCTCACTGTTGTTTCTGGTCTGTACTCCTCAAACTGGGTTTGCACACATCTCCCCCGCCAGGTTGCCAGGCCTCCCAGGGCAGGGTCCAGGTTGGCTGCAACCCTGGGTATACAGCATTTTAGGACATGAGCCCTGGACAAGACCGGAGTTCTAGGAATGTACTGAATGAATGAATACACAAATGAATGAACTAGCGAATGAGTGTGTGACCCACGCGGCCCCACTCACCCTCGATAAGCCACTCGCAGTTGCCATTGACGCTGTAGTTGCCTGCGCCATCCGTCACGAAGCCTGGCGCCTCCCGTAGCACCTGCCGCTGCCCCTTGCAGTCCCCTGCCAGGACCAGGGGAGACAGCGGCCCCAGCACGGCCAAGGCCAGTGCCAGTGCCATGGCCAGGGCCCGACCCAAGGCCATCCCCAAATCCCGCTGCACCGACCCTTAAGAGGGGAAGGGCCTTAAAGGCCCGTGGAGGACCCTCGACTGGCCTGGGGTCATGTAATGCGACCTCTATAGGCGTAGCATGGCTTTGCATACAGGGGAGGTCCCGAAGGCGCAGTCCTTCGGAAAGGAACGGCGGCTATAGATGGGCTCTGGAAGTCGAGGGGTGAGCCCTATAGAGCCATGGAAGGCCCTGTACATGGGGTCGTTATGGCTGGGGCCGACCCCTAGGGACCATAGGGGTCCCCTACAGACATGGGTTTCCATAGGGGGCTCGACCCCATAAACGGTGTCCAGCAGTTAAGACTCCAGCCGCTGCGAACCAAAACAGACCTTAAGGACGGATGCGTCCCCAGCGGTGAAGGCCTCTACCGCTCGGCAGGGTCCTCCATAGAAGGTGCGGACTAAGACCGGCCAGGCCTCGACCGTCCTGGGTAGACCCCTCCGGCCAGGGGCGGGGCACGAGCGGGTCCCGGGGGCGGAGCCTCTCCTCCAGAGCTTGGGCCTGGATCCCATAGGCGCTCTCCCTTTGCTTACCCACCCTTGCCTCCCTCCCGAGCCGGATGGGCTGGATCAGAGAGACTAGGGGATTCTCGGGCCAGAGCGGCTTGGACAAACCCGCTGGGAGGGCCAGGGGGCGGGAACCCAGCACCGATCTGGAAAAACGCGGGGAGAGGAACCGAGACGTTGCAGAGCTGCAGGTCAGAGCGGCCCTAGGAGGACTGCGGAGAGCCCGACCCCACCCCTTCGCAAAGGGAGACTTCCGGAACCCCCCCTTCTGTTTCCAGCCGCATGCGCAGTAGTGACCTCCTGGACCAGCGGGGAGATTTGCGCACGCGCATGGTGAAGTTCGTAACCCAAAGTCGGGGTAGGTAAAACCTATGCTGGTGGCTCAGCAACGCAAAATGCCACTGGAGGGCGCCTCTATCACTGACTGGGAAAGGGAAGGGAACGGTCACTTTAAAAGAAAAAACAAAAACAAAAAAAATAGTGGTGCAATATAGAGTTCTGCTAGATGATTGGTATTTTATGCGCTCCCGGACTCCGGGTCATTTTAAAGGTTCTGAGCCAAACGCCATTTCACAGATAGACATACTGAGATCCTGAGCTTGAACTCGCTCAACCTCGCCGCTAAGCACTATCAAGATGTAAGAGAGGGGGCTGGCGACATAGCTCAGTGGTCCAAAGCGCCTGCTTAAGCAAGCATGCAGGGACCTCGGTTCGATCCCCAGCACCACATGCCTTGCCAGCCCCGCCCCCAGGGTGGGCTGAGCTGACCATAAAAAAAAGAAAAAAAAAGATGTAAGAGAGAAAAAGATGAGAAAGAACCTAGGAGTTGGTGGCACCTACCTGTAACCCCAGTACTCCAGAGGCTGAGCCAGGAAGATCGCCATGAGTTCGAGGCCAGCCCAGGATACATAGTGAGACTCTGTCTCAAAAAAACTAAATCAAATGAGGGTATGTGGGGTAGGACGTGTTGGCCCACGACTGTAATCCCAGCACTCGGGAAGAGGAGACAGAAGGATTGCCGGGAGTTGGAGGTCAACCTGGGCTCCCCTAAGTGATTTCAAGCGCAGTCTAGCTACATAGTGAAACCTTATCTACCTATCTATAAATAAATAAAGGCATGATTATAGATAAAAATTCAACGAATCCTTTTTATTTTGGCAAGAAGGGAAAAAGTCTTTCTGCCAGGGACCCGAAGGAAGGCTCCAGAATGCAGACAGGAGCGGAGAGCACAGGTCCGGTCACTGATCCAGGGGAGGGGTTCAGAGAGACCAGCTTCACAACATCCGTCCCGGGAGCAAAGGCCTGGGGTCGCACAGTCCTGAAGTGTCACGGGCAGAATCCCGGCGGTCGCGATACGTGTCCGGAGTCCAGCGGGGTCAGAGGTCTCGGAGGGGACCAGGGGGCCGAAGATCACGGAACAGCGGGAGCCCAGAATCCGGCGCCGCTCGGGGCAGGGGCTGAGGGAGGGGACGGGGAGAGAGGCTCCCGCGGGACCGTTTGGCACAAGAGGGTAGGGGGCAAGACGCAGCGCACCCCACCCAGGCGCTGGGGTGGGGGGCAAGGGGGCTCGTGGGACCTGGGAGGGCCGAGCCCTGGGGCCGGACAAGGCTGGGGGTCCGGAGCCCAGCAGGGGCCCGGTGCGTGCCCATAGCAGGCGCGGGCAGGGATGCTCAGACCGGGGGTGCGGGGCCCCCGGCCGTGTGCATGCTGAAGTATTCGGTGAAGCCGGTGTGCGGCGCCGCCGTCGAGGGTACGAGCGGCTGGTAAGACGGCGTCGGGCCATCCCAGCCCAGGTCAGCCGCCTTGGGGAACCGAGCGGGAGGGGGCGGGGAGGCTGCGCCCGGCTCAGCCGTGGTCACCACGCGGCCCCTCGGGGCCACCGCCGCCGCTACCGCTGTCTCCTCCACCTGCTTCCCGGCCTGGGAGGGGGGTCAGGATCAGAGATGGTCCGGGACCCTCGGGGGGACGGATGTGGCCCCGAAGGCCCGTCCCCCTCCCCCCCAAGAACCCCACCTCCCCAAGAATGGTCAAATGTGTCAGTCAGGGAAGGAGTGGGTGGCCGGGCGCCTGGGCAGAGGAGCCAGGTACTCCAGGGGAGGCGTCGGGGTGCGCCGGGCGAACTCGGGCGGCGGCCGGGGACCCGGGGGAGAACCGCGGAAGGCGGGCGGCGGGGGCACGGCGCGTGGCGTCGGCGGGGGTGTGCGCAGTAGCGCCAGGACCCAGTCGGGCAGGGTGGGCGCGGGCGCTAGGGGACGGTCGCGGCGAGGCATCGGGGCGCGGGGCGTGCGGAAGGCAGGGGGAGGGCTCAGGCGGCCGGGCGCGGGGGGCGGCGGCGGGGCCGGGAGGGGGGTCAGGTACTCCAAGGGCGGCGCCAGCAGCTCCTCGGGCGCCGGGGCCGCAGGGCTTACGGAGGAGGTGGGCGGGGGGATGGAGAAGAGCTCCGTGAAGTTGGGCACCGAGTCGCTGATGAACGTCACGTTCCCATAGACGTGCTGCGGAAAGGCCTTGTCCGCTGATTGGCTTCCTCCGGGTCCCGGGGTCCCCGCAGAGGCGATCTGCGACGTTCTTACGTGGTACGGAAAGTTCTTGTTGGCCGCTGATGGGCGAGTCATGATCTGGGACAAGGGAGTCAGCCACAGATTGGAGAAACCTAGCACACCCTGAAGCTTTCCCTTGAGTACCTGGCTTCTTTCCCCAGATTTGGGGGGCCTAAAAAGCACCCTCTATTAGTGGGTTTGGTGGCACTTGCCTGTAATCCTAGCACTCTAGGAAGCTAAGGCAGGAGGATTGCAAATTTGACCCTACCCTAACTAATGTAGAAGCTTAGTAAGACTTTGTCTCAAAAAAAAATTTTTTTTTTCCTTTTCTTTTTGGAAGGACCAGGGATTGAACTTAGGACCCTGAGCTTGCCACGCAAGCTTATTCTACTGAGCTATCTCCCCAGCCTCTCAAAATATTTTTTCCAAGGGGCTGGAGCCAAACTGAGTGTAAAGGCCCCTAGGTTCAACACCAAGTAAGGTGTGGACGGACACACACACACACACAATGCCCCCTCCATATGATGTCTCCCCACACACACTTCGCTGCAGCCACTCGACCTAGATTAGGTGCTTCCTCTGGTCTGTGGCTGTACCCTGAGTTCTGACTTTTCCCTCAATACGCCTCTTACTACTATGTCTATCAGAGCCCTGATTACTGGGCCATCAAAGACTAGTTAAGATCCTCATCACGTGCCATCCAATATGATAGCCACTCCCACATGTAGCTTAAATTTAATAAAAATTAAACTGAAATCTTAGCTTCTTAGCCACACTATCCTACCCAGATTCAAGTGTTCACTTGACACCATACTGGGAGGCACAAGTTGTAGAATATCTTCATAAACACAGAAAGTTAGATCAGGCAGCAGTTGATAGTGTAGAATGTTAAACCTATGAAGGTAGGAACTTGAACCTTCTATTCCTTGTTGAATGACCAGTACATTTTAGCTCAGTGCCTGGCACATGTAAGCCCTCAGTAAATACTGGTTGAATGTAGAGATGTCCCCATAATCTGGTAAACCACGAAGGCAAAGAGCAGGTGACTTCACTGTCATACCCCAGAAGCCCAGCACCACCGTCTAAAGCTCTGCTGAATGCAGGAAGCCACTGGTGCAATGCCAGAGGTACTAGGGCACAGAGCTGTACCAGGTTTCTCCCACCCCCCTCAGTATTGCACTGGGACTTGAACTTAAGGCCTTTGCTGTGAGCTACATCCACAGCCCAGCCTTTAGTTTTCATTTGGAGGTGGGGTCATAAATTGCTAGATTGCCCAGGCTGGGCTTAAACTTGTGATCCTTTTGCCTCAGGCTCCCAGAGTCCTGGGGTTATTTGTGTGAGCCACCCTGACAGCTTGTGCTGGCATTTTCAGGAAGGAAGCTGTTTCAGGTGAAATAACAGCAAGGGCACTGTGTTTGGGTTGAGCCTGCACCACACTTCTTGGCTTCATCACTCACTGAGCGTGGGGTCTGGGGCACATGGACTAAACCTCCTCAGCCTCACTGGCCACCAAAAGGATCAGTGCTTATTTGGAAAGATGAGAGGGTGGAAATGAAAACCACTGGTGCAGAGCCTGGCTGGTACATGGTGGGTTCTTAGTGTTTCCTCTTGTATCCCTTTGACACTTCCTGCAGAGCTTCAAGATGTACTGGCCAGATAAGGTGAGCAAGTGTGTACCTAAACCAGGCTCTGAGGTGTCAGGTGGCAGCCTGGCCCTTCCTTGGGCTTCTGGGTATTTTCCCTGCAATAAGCACATTACAGTTCCCTAGAGTTAGAAGCTGAGGCCCTCAGTGGTGCCCGTTTCCCTTTCTGGCTACCCTTTAAGTGGCACCTTATGGTTGACAAGAGAAGGATGTGGTTTAACGTGCCTGCCGTGCCACCAAAAGCCATGGACCTTGGGGAGGTCATCACCCCTCTCTGGGCCTTATCTTCCCCTCTATATACTGCTATCCATCCTATCCTGGGGCTGCTCTGAACATTGAAAAAGAGTAGGGGTAAATGCATATGAATATTCCAAGCAAGAAACACACTATTTCAAGACAGAGACAGGAACCCAGGGAACAGTGTTTGGGTGGGTGGACGGATGGATGGATGGATGGATGGATGGATGGATGGATGGATGGATTATCCCCAAGAAGGTCAGACAAAATGTGAACCAAGATAAAGAACAGATTTGATGCTGAGACCCTCCTGATTCCTAGGCTAGACAATACTCTTCAGATCTAGGCCACCAGGAGCCACAGACTGCCCCTTCCCAACTGCTTCTTCCTGAACAACGACCTGTGAGGGGAGACTAGGGGTAGGTAGGGCTTGGGGAGGACAATGGGGATATAGAATCAGGAATGGAAATGGGGATGGAGGCAAAGAATGAGGACGGAGTTGGGGGAAGAGGCCAGAGCCAAAGGTGGGAGAGAGAAATAGAAGAATAGGGGACACAACAGTCTGCCTAGCAGCCTGCCTGAATGCTATACATTTAGCTTGTTTTCTTTTTCTTTTTCTACCCCTACTGGGGATTGAGCTCATGGTCTCATGTGCTAGGCAAGTGCAATAAGTGTCTTCTGAGTAATTAAGAGGTAAATGGTTAAGGGGAGATAGTTCAAGAGCCCAGAAGAGGATGTTGAAGCAGCTCAAGAGTCAGAGCCTTGGGGCCAGGGAGATAGCTCAGTAGAATAAGTGTTTGCCTGGCAAGCACAAGGGCCTGAGTTCAATCCCTGGTTCCATAAAAAAAAAAAAAAAAAAAAAAAGTCAGAGCCTCATGCATCTTTTACCCTTCCACTTCCCGCCCCACTAGGCACCTGTCCTTACCAGGAATACACCGTGGGCATACAAGTGAATCCCCAGCTGGATGCCATTGACAATCTTCTCCCGGGCCCACTTGGGGATCCCAAAATTGGCAATCAGGGCCATGACAGGAACCGCAAAAAACCTGCACAGGAGATATTGAGTGGATAGAAACTGCCTCTGGCTCCATCCCATTCCATAGCTGCACTTCCCTTGCCATGCACACAGCCCCAGACAGGTCCCACACTGAAGCCAGAGGTTGAATGGGGACAAGAATCTCACTAGAAATTCTAGGAAGCAAAGACTAGGTTGAATTTAACTAGGTTCTACTACTGCCCAAATCCAGGCATCTAATAGGAAATTGGTTGATGTTTGATGATGGAATTAACAAATAATAATTAAGGAATTACTGCATGCTGGGCCTAATTCTTTCTGTTTGTTTTTGGTTTGGTTTGGTTTGGGGTTTTTGAGACAGTTTTGCTATATAGTCCAGTCTGGCCTTGAACTTACTATGTAGCCTAGGCTGGCTTCAAACTTATAGCAGTCTTCCTGTCTCAGTCTCCAGAGTGATGGGATTACAGATGTGCACCATCACACCCTGCTTTGGGCCTATTTCTAAACCATACAGGGGCCAGGAAGATGGCTCAGTACAGTAAGCGCTTGCCTGGCAAGCACAAGGGTCTCAGTTCAATTCCCGGTTCCGCCAAAAAAATAAAAACAGATAAATAAATTGCATTCTATCATACATATTCACTTAACTCTCACAGTGTATCTATGAAGCAGGTTCAGTTTCCATCCCCATGAACAGATGATGGCAATAAGATAGAAGTTAGTGGACTTATCTGAGATCGTAGAGTTTGTAAGTTTCACAGCCCCATATATTACCCTGTGCATGCTCAAGAAAACCCTTTTCAGGAGATACTTATTTTGCCCCTTATTTTGTGGGCAAGAAACTTGACAGATATTCTATGAAAGTACTTTTCTTTTTCCAATGGGGAGATTGAACCCAGGGCTTTCGTACATGCCACACAAGCACTGCACCACTGGGCTACATTTTGACCTGTATTTCAGGTTTTTTGTTTGTTTGGTAGGTTGGTTGGTTTCTTTGATTGTTTTGAGACAGGGGTCTTGCTATGTATGGCTCCAACTTGCAGCAGTTTTCCTGCCTCAGCCTCTTAAGTGCTGGCATTTCAGGCATGTGCCACTTGGACTGGCTCTTGTTTTGTTTTTGAGACAGTGTCTTGCTGTATAGCCCATGTTGGTCTTAAGTTCATGATCCTCCTGCCTCACCCTCCCACCTGGCTAGGGTTACAGGTATGAACTATATTCCCCAGTTTTAAAAAATGTTTTGGTGGCAGATCAGGAGGCTGAGGGAAAGAGGGATTTCTGTGAATCAGTGCCAACATGGACTATACAGTGAGACCCTGTCTCAAAATAAGAAAAGAATAATAATCATTTTGCAGCACTGGAGACTGAATCCAGGACCTTCACACTGAGCTACAGCTCTAATCCTCATTTGTTTGTTTATTTTTATTTTTATTATTTTTATTTTATTTTTTTTAATTTTATTTATTTGTGTGTGTGTGTGTGTGTGTGTGTGTGTGTGTGTGGCATGCTCA